CTTCCTTCCTTCCTTCCTTCCTTCCTTCCTTCCTTCCTTCCTTCCTTCCTTCCTTCCTTCCTTCCTTCTTTCCTTCCTCTCATCTTACTTTCCTATCTACCACCTACCTACCATAGGTAGAAGAAGAAGAATGATCTATTTGGATAAATAGTCCTTCCTTCCTACTACCTACCTATCTACCATAGGTAGAAGAGGAAAAATGACTTATAGTTCTTCCTCCCTCCCTCCCTCCCTCCCTCCCTCCCTCCCTTCCTTCCTGAAAGATCCTACTGAACTCAAAAGCTTTCATGGAATTCTGTGTCCTCTAATTTGGCACAGTAAATACATCTTCTTAATCCAGAAGTTGATATCTATATGTGGACTCATGAAGAAAGAAGAGGATTTAGACTGAAGCTCCATTGCTGCTCTCTGAAAGAAGTTTAATGATTAAACCCTTGTTTAGTTTAATCCAGGATGATGATGATGAGTGTGAGCCTGGGCAGCTTAATGCTCTCCAGGGACTAATGGTACTAGCCGATTCTGATCAAAACCTCATGCTTAATGAAGTGAGGTGTTCTGTTTATGAAATCTAAGTGGAAAACAGGCCATTTCCTCTAAGTGCTTTAAGACTGCAACTTGGTTAATAACCAAGAACCAGATTTCCTGAAGACTGTGAAATGGAAACAACTCCTAACATAGCATTTTGTGCATAAAGCGTTTTGTGTCAATACTACCCACAACGAAGGAAAAACCCTGCTGACTTCAGATTCCACAATTCCCAGACAGCAGGACATTGAAGCAAAGATTGCTGTACATTTGATAGATGTATGTTTGAAGTTCATTACCAGGAATGCTAATTATTCCATAAATCAATTTTGAGCAATATCAGTAATTGAAGGAGTAACCAAATAACATAATAACAGAGTTGGAAGGGACCTTGGAGGTCTTCTAGTCCAACCCTATGCTCAAGCAGGACACCCTTTACCACTTCAGAAGCATGGCTGTCCAATCTTTTCTTAAAAACCTCCAGTGATGGAGCAGCCACAACTTCTGAAGGCAAGTCGTTCTACTGATTAATTGTTTTTATTATCAGTCTCCTGCTTCTAGTTGAGATATCTTCCCAAGGGTGAGAGAGAAGGACTGACTCAACACCACCCAGCTGGCTTTGTGCCTAAGGCAGAACTAGAACTCACAGTCTCCCAGTTTCCAACCTGGTGCCTTAACCATTACAGAGTACAAATAGTCCTCAATGTACAACCACAATTGAGTCCCAAATTTATATTGTTAAGTGAGGCATTTGTTCAGTGAGTTTCATTCTTTTCTTGCCATATGAATCACTGCAATTGTTAAATTAACAACACGGTTGTTAATTGAATCGAGTTTCCCCATTGACCTTGCTTGTCAGAAGGTCACAAAAGGGGATCCCATGACTCTGGGACACAACAACCATCATAAAAGTGAACCACTTGTCAAGCAGTCAAATGTAAATCACAAGACCAGGGGGATGCTGCAGAGGTCATAAGTGCAAAAACTGGTCATCAGTCACTTTTTTCAGTGCCATTGTAACTTTGAACGGTCCTGTCCTGGGTCTCTCTAACCTATTTCCTCACCCCCATTTGTGCCTGCAAAGTACAATCCTTGACTACCTCTGCAATATGGTGAGTTCGATATTCTCCTTAAAAAATCCAGTGATCTGCTAGGGAAATCCCATCTGGCTTCTAGTTCCAAACCCCTGCCAAAAAGTTCACCCTTCTCGATTGACTTAATGTCCAGAAGCATTCTCTGCTCAGAGCATGAATTTTCTAAACCCTTTCAGCTTGCGAAACCCAAGTGATACTTCCCTAGCTGAGTAGCAGTGGCAATGTCTTTCCACACAGTTCTGCACCATGGTCAAATTTTGCTCATCCAAACCATGCATCCTTCAAGAAAACTGCAAGAGTTTTAAGTACTTACAATGAGAATTGTTACATATGGGAAAAAGACAAGGCTCAGATGTAAAGGGAAATCATTTATACTGCATCCAGTTTTGATCACCACAATGTAAAAAAGATGTTGAGGCTCTAGAAAGAGTGCAGAGAAGAGCAACAAAGATGATTAGGGGGCTGAAAACATATGAAGAACGGTTGCAGGAACTGGGTTTGTCTAGTTTGATGAAAAGAAGGACTAGGGTTGACATGATAGCAGCAGTGTTCCAATATCTCAAGGGCTGCCCCAAAGAAGAGGGAGTCAAGCTATTCTCCAAAGCACCTGAAGGCAGGACAAGAAACAATGGGTGGAAACTAATCAAGGAGAGAAGCAACTCAGAACTAAAGAGAAATTTCCTGACAGTTAGAACAATTAATCAGTGGAACAACTTGCGTCCAGAGGTTGTGAATGCTCCAACACAAACAACAGTTTTAAACAATAGTTTTTAAGAGATTGGATAACCATTTGTCTGAAATGGTATAGGATTTCCTACCTAAGCAGGGGGTTGGACTAGAATACCTCCAAGGTCCCTTCCAACTCTGTTATTCTATTCTATTTCTCCAGATTCGGGGCCTTTTCCCATATGCAGATAAACCTAGTACAAGCATGACTTGGAAATCTGTTTTTTCTGCCATGTCCCCATGATGTTATCTTTCATCTTATCCATGGTCCATGAATGTGACACAGCGCAGGCCACGCTTAGCTGAATCGGGAGAATTTTAACCTTTTTTCTGACACTGTCAAGGACATTCTTAAGGTGTTTAAAATTGTTTAAGCTTTGTCACCCATTATTCGCAGGGAAGTCAAAAGTCTGGCAGTGGCTCAAAAGAGAAGTAATAGAAGCAAAATAGGGATCCCAAAAGTGCTTCTTCAAAAAGCAACTGGATTTTCTTGGTGTTTTTTTCCCCTGGAAAACATTTTCCTTCTTATCCAAGAAGGTTCTTCAGTTCTCAGTTCTTCAGTTCTCAGAACTGGCAGACTAGAATTCAAAGTCTCCAAGTTTCCAGATTGGTGATTTAACCATTACAGAATACTGGCCCTCTCTTCCTATTTTGGGCCCTCCAACTTCAGAAGAAGCTTCTTGGATGAAAAGGGAAAAAAAAACCAAATAAATCCAGTTGCCATTTGGAAAACCACTTTTGGGACAACCATGACCAGGATGATGGAGAATCTCCATAGATATGATAGGGAGTGATAGTGGGAATAACCCATGTCATGCCAGTATAGCTTTGTGTTGAAATGGAAAAGCAGAAAGCATTCCAGCTTACCAGAAAGAAAAGGACCAATGGACCAACTTAAAAAAACAAAACAAATTGAATTGCTAGAATGTAAGATAGCTAAACAAGGTTCATATACGTAATTACCTGGAATTCTAATACAGGCAATAGCAATAGCATTTAGACTTTACTTTAGACAGTACTTTACAACCCTCTCTAAGCAGTGTACTAAGTCATCAATCTCGGTCCTCATTTTACCCACCTCAGAAGGATAGAAGGCCAAGTCAACCTCCAAATAGTTTCTCTGCACTCCATAAACATTTGATGTGATTTATTGTCTCTTCAGAAAAGATGCCTTTTGTTCTTTCCCCTATTTCAATGTTTCTCAACCTCAGCAATTTTAACCTATGTGGAGTTCAACTCCAGAATTCCCAAGACAATATAAAATGGCTGAGATTGGGAAACACTGTCCAATTTCCAAGCTAAGCCCCCATTGAAGTTGAATCGCAGAGGTTATTTTATTATAAAAATCAGTTAAATCATCAATTAAGAGTCCTGTTCCAGGTGAAGATTCCTTTGAGAAAGGCTGTATTTCAGTTGTGATTGGAACATCTTGATTCACTTTTCTATTATTCTCTCCAGACTAACCCTACCTAAGCACAGAAGGAATTTTTCAGATCAGGACTTTAAGGGCTGGCATTCAGAACCTCACCCAGTAAATGAGGGAGAAACACCAAGCAAAGGGTTATCTCCTACAGATCATGAAGAAATACATATTGCATACATACATAAAACAGGAGGAAATTGCATTAGATATTTGAAGTAGATGAAACAATCCAAACTGTAAGTGAAACAATCCACATTTTTATTTCTAGTGGAAATAGAATACTTCTAAGGGTGATAGATTTCTTCCCACTTAGAGGCATCTCCCAAACTTTCAAAATTGCCACTTTTAACATGGCAGGAGAGAGAAAACTATTTCTTTTAAAGATGAATGGAAATAAATGTTATTCATTATATCTGATCTGGCTTCAATGCACAGGCAAGCAAAGTGAAATCAGATTAGAGTCTTTGTTGTGGTTGCAGCCCATACATTTTGGAGCATGATCCTGGGATGCCCAGGAAAAGTTGTGCAGCCCAAACAAACAAAGTTTCTTTAAAGTCCACGGCTGATTATATAAAACCAGTAAACCCAGACACAGGCTGACTATGCCACTACATGTTATGGCATTAATCTGGAGCTCTGTGTAGCCTTGTGGTTTTCAAGTATGGCTTTCTGCCATTCAGAATTCTGCAGAGGAAAAGTGCAACACAAAAGGCATGCCAAAGAAACCCAAGGCTGGCTTGTTGCCTGGTATAGCTATACTCACAGGGGTACCTGAAGTAGAATTCATTCTCAATATCAGAGACGTTCCTTTGTTGTTTTTCCTTCTCCCAATCAGCCACATCTGCCTCCGGGTTGAAGCGCACGAAAATCCCAAAAAGGATGATCATGGCCACCTCCCAGAGGAGGCAAACCATAGGTAAGCGCCAGCGCATATCGGTGTTCCTAGCCATCGTGCTCAGGCACACCATGAGTTCAACTTCTTTGCCCCTTTGTTCAGTGAAGGTGGCAGGACAGAGAAGTCACAGGAGCTTGGAAAGGAGCTCCACAAACAGTCCAACCTGTTCATTCATTTTTATTTAATCTGGGGAGAAGTGGGTGTGGCTCTGAGGCTGCCAGTCATCCCAGCAACCCAGGGAGGGCATCTGTCTCTCCACTCTCTCGTACTAGTCCAAAGAGAAGAAGCCAGGCGAGTGTCCTGGCTTTTCTTAAGAATGTATTCCACACACCAGCATGACATCACAGATGAATGGATTCTGTTTCCAGCATGACAAGCCTTTCTCTGCTGTGTCACATTCCAAGTGAAAGTGGAGGAAGATAAGCCAAGGAAGTATCTAAGAAAGACAAGGCAAGCCATTTGGGGATGATCCTGGGGCAGATGTATGGGAATCGATGGGGCTGACCTCAAATACCTTTGCAGAGAAAGGATGCAGGTTGCAATCCTGTTCCTTTGACTTCTCTATTTCATCCCTCAGCTCCTTGCATCCATATAAGCAGGAGCCAAAGCAAGGAAGTTGCTCTACCACTCTCCTTAATATCTGGAATCCACAGGCTGCTGTCTGCTACAGCAAATCATCTTATTTTTAAGATTTCTGTCTTTGTGTGTGCATGATTTAGAGTTGTTTGTTTGATCTTGGGATATGCTGGGCTATGATTCTCATCATCCCCACCCAGTGCATTTGAAGTGAATGAATGAGTAAGTGAGACCCCCAGACCCCCAGTGAAACTGCAATTATATATTCTGTAGAAAGCAGTTGTCTCCAGCCTGACAACTTCTGGTGTCTTGATTTACTTTCCTCCAGATATTGACCAGGGACCATGAGGTTATTGTCCTACCATTCTGGACTGTGCCTGGCTGACTTAAGCTGGTTGTGAGATCTCATTTATGTTAATGCTTAGCATTCCAACAAGCGCCACATGTAACATTTCTCCTCCATTTTTCTACATATTCAGTTGAATGAAAAGGAATTCACTTTTGAAATGACTGGCACAGTAATTGGGTGGAGAGAGGAACATTTCATTTGTTTCCAAACCGGGTTTACTTGTGGATGCGATGAACCGGCTCTGAGTCATGGATGTCTCCATAGTGTCCAGTTACGAATGCGGGAGACCTGGGACATCAAGGTCTCCAAGTACAGACAGCCTGACCATGTCACCGATATTCATCATTGGGCTGCTGTTCCCCCTTCCGTCTCAGTGCACCACCTCCCTGTTATCATTTCTAACCAAGGACTGCTTTATGAACCATCGGCGCTGGGCTACGGATTTTGGGGTTGAGCCGCAGGGACTGTATGGACATTGGTTTCCTCACCATCACAGGCTCACTCAAATGTTATGATGTTTACATGCGTGGAACCAGGAAAGATTGATTCCAGACCTTGGGTGACACGTGATTAATGACACTGCCAAAAGTGGTGACTCCACTAGTGTGACCATCTCTTAGCGAATTTTTACTCTCAGAGAGGTTCTCCCCTCTGATCATTTATGATACCATAATGACCAAAGGGTTATGTCTGAATGGCTTGCCTTTGGGGGGGACAGCTGTGTTTTCAACAATCTGCCCACTCTCTGGCTTCTTAGGATCCTATTAAATCACTAGGAAGAAATTCCTTCTGTGTGCAGTGGGGATTCAGGAGGATGAGAAGATATGTTATAGATCACCACCAGTGGCAGCAACCTTCACCACTTCCATGATACAACCAAGCTCAAAAACATTTCCAAGAGAAAAGAGGAAAAAAAACAATTTCTCCAACCTTCTCAAACAGAAAAAGGAAATGTCTGAGACATCATAGGACAGATTTTATCTCTTTCCAGGTTCACCCTATCCTATATAGCCATATGGTATCAAACTGTAATATATTCTAGATTCTGCCCTCAGCTGTGCCTGGCATGTTTCAGTACAAAGCTATTACCAATTTGCAAGTGACTGTTGATCTTTGCATGCTGGAGACATATTAAAAAAATTGTTTAGTAATCTGCTTCTCTGGCAAGCAGAACCATCAATTAATTTGCCTACCAGGGGAGGATGTATTTCCCCTGAACTGCAACTTTGAACGGCTTTCACCATTGTCTACAGTGACAGAAGCTGCTGGCAGGCAAAGTTCAACCACATCTAAAGGCTATAGGTTCTTCATGCCTTTATTGTTCTTTTGCTCATACTTATAATGCCACTGAGTCTTTTCCCTCCTTATTCTGAATTTTTGTAATAGTTTCTTCCCCCATGCCATCACTTTGCTAAACACCGAACTCCTATAGCACTGTCTTATGCCTAAGATATCTACCCACGTAGTAGGGCTGGATTGCTATTATCCTTGTCATCTTTGTCATCTTCTCATCTTTCTCACTTCTCATCTTTCCTACTACCTTCTCCTACAGATATATTATGATTTATCAATTGTTTGTATCTTATGATTTATGATTGTACCTTATGATTTATGATCTATGACTTATCACTCCGTTGTTCATATGTACACTGAGAGCTTTTGTACCAGAGACAAATTCCTTATGTATGTAACCACACTTGGCAAAATAGAGGATTCTATTCTATTCTATTCTATTCTATTCTATTCTATTCTATTCTATTCTATTCTATTCTATTCTATTCTATTCTATTCTATTCTATTCTATTCCATTCTATTCTATTCCATTCCATTCTATGGATCATGTGACCATGGGGATGCCACAATTATGATAAGTATGAAAAATGGTGATAAGTCACTTTTTTCAGTGCCATTGAAACTTCAAACAGACACTAAATGAACTGCTGTAAGTCGAGATTTACCTGTAGATGGTCCATCAATACTATGGCATATCAATAAATGTTTAGGGTTCTGCAATTCCCCACATTCTCAGTTCACGTTCTCATCACAAAAGGGTCACTGCAGCGTATTTATGGATTATGGAGTATTTACATCTGTAGCCCCCACCCTTTTCCCCGTGAAACTCAGGATCATTTTTTCTGACTTTATCCTCATTAAAGACAACAACAAAATCCTGTTATGCAGCAGGAGAGAGAATGAGAAAAGAGAGACAGCCTGCTTCAAGGTCGTCGCGTAAGCTTCATGATTGAATGAAAAACTGAAACTCTATCTTCCTTGGCTGAAGTCCATCATTCTCATTAGGCTTTATTCTGTTCTCTCTCTGAAATATCTTTTTCCTGATTTACAAACACAACACAAATCATGGAAAAAATGGGAGCCCCACAGGGTGTGTAGGAATCAGTGAGGGGGCAGGGAAGAAAGAAGAGATGGATGGGGTGGGGCAGCTGGAGGTTGGGAAGAAGATTATCCAGCCCATCAAGCCGTGGCAAGGATAACCCGGGGTCAGGACTAAGACTTGGAGCATTAAGCGAAAGCAATTTACAAGTTCAGTTCTAATGTTCTTCCTGGCCCTTTACAACTCTATAGGTCAGCAGTGAAACCTATTCATTTTAAGTCACTTTTCCTCCTAGCCTGGAAAAAAAACCAACCATGACAGTTAAGAAACATGGCAATTTTGCATCTACACACACAGAAAAGAAAGAATATGACCTACCATATTTTTTTCACCTTTTTAACAACTTTTTGGGCAAACCTCAGCCCTTCTGTTTAACATTAGGGCATCCTGCTTATTATGTCCCACAGTTAAAATACAGGTTTGCACACTGAGAATTAGTCCATTGGCTTTCTGATCAGGAAAACATTTATCTTTGGGAAGTCCTGTAGAATGTTTTTTCTCCCTCCGGGGACATTCTAATCTTCTTGCTTAAATTTTCAATATCCATTCTATCTTTTAAAACTGTGTAACTGTATTTTGAAACCTTATGCTTATTCCCACTGCTGAAATTATGGTCCAGTCAGGGAAATGATCTGATGTAGCAAATAATTCCTATACATTTTTGAAAATATTCTAAAAAGTAATATTTAACATAGTTAAATAACACATTTGACTACCTGAATCTAATTGCCTATTATGCGTTGAATGTTCTAGCATTTGTTGTGCCTTCAGGCTTTTTCACCAGAAAAGACCTAGCTATTCTCCAGTTTCAAACATGTTCAAGCCCAAATCAACATTTACAACAGAAGAGAAATTTTATTTTAATTTATTTATTTTTGTCAAGCATGCATTTGAGGCTATATATAAGTATAAACATGATTATAAATACATGAAATAGATACAAATAAAAGGGAACATTAAGACAGGGATGGTAAGCACGTTGGTGTGATTATGCACATCCCTTACAGACCTCTTAGGAATGGGGTGAGGTCAATAGTAGACAGTCTGAGGTTAAAGTGTTTGGGGTTAGTGGAAGAAAACAGAGTCAGGAAGAGTATTCTAGGCATTGACCACTCTGTTGCTGAAGTTGTATTTCCTGCAATCAAGGTACAGTTGGTGCGGTTTACCTTAAGTTTGTATCTATTGTGTGCTCGTGTATTGTTGAGGTTGAAGCTGAAGTAGTCATTGACTGGTAGGACATTGTAATGGATAATTTTATGTACTACACTTAGGTCAGACCGAAGGCGGCGTAGTTCTGAGTTATCTAAGCCTAAAATTTCAAGTCTGGAGGCATAGGGTATTCTGTTGTGAGTAGATGGAGGTGAAAAGCTCTGTTAGACCCTCAAACAGAGTCTACAACAAGAAGAAAAGAAATGAGATCTGTTAAATTAGATTGCTCACGGTTTTATGCAAGGGTGTGGAGATCAAGTCAAACTTGATTCGAATTTTCAGTTCACATCCCTGAATCAATCCAATTCAATTTTTTTGAACTGTATTTTCAGGTTAATGTGATTCTGAACACACAGTTTCCTTTGTAGTCGCGAAAGGTCATTGAATCATTCAGTTTGACTCTGAGGTTGGATGCAAATTCAGAAAGTCAATTTGATGCAGAGAATCAGTCCAAGTGCTCTTGTGCTGAATATGCTAATCAAATATTCACGCGGGGGGGGGGGGCTGCGAGTTCATCCTTGGGATTTTGTTCAATGGTGACATATCTCCAGAATAGGTTCTTGTAACCTTTGCATCTGCTTTATCTGCAGACACGGATGCAAATAGAATAAGAAATGCAATTCAGCTTAACCTAGTAAGGAAAAGGTTGTGAGCAGATCATT